TGACGCCTAGGTTGCATATGGGTTTGGAGAGTTTTAGGGGGAGATCTGGTAGGTGGAGGAGGTGAGAACCGTGCGAATTTAGACGTTGACAAGAGCCGAAGAGTATGGCTTCCGTCTTGTCAACGGTCAGCTGAAGGAAGTTTGCGCTCATCCAGCCCGAGATCTGACAGGCAAGCTGACAGAACATCAGGGAACTGGGGGTCACAACGAGAGGTGGAAAAGTAGAGTTGGGTGTCATCTGCATACATGTGGAAATGTACCCCATGTCTGCGGATGACATCCCCAAGAGGGAGCATGTAGATCAGGAAGAGGAGGGGCCCAAGATTGGATCCTTGGGGTACCCCACAGGTAACCAGGTGAGAAGCCATTTATGCAGATGTACTGCTGGCGGTTTGTGAGGTAGGACTCGAACCAGGCGAGTGCGGTCCCACTGAGGTGGATGACGGAGGAAAGGCGGTGGAGGAGAATGGCGTGATCGACTGTGTCGAACGCGGCGGAGAGGTCCAGGAGGACAAGGAGGCAGAGGGAGCCCTGGTTACAGATAGAGAGGATGTCGTTTGTGACTTTCACAAGCACAGTCTCTATACTGTGGGCAGAGTGGAAACCGGACTGGAGTGGTTCGAAGAGGGAGTGGGAGGAGAGGTGTGCGCGGAGTTGGTTTGCAACAACGCGTTCTAAAACTTTTGAGAGGAAGGGCAGGTTAGAAATAGGGCGGTAATGGCTGGGGTTTGAGGGATCCAGGGAGGGTTTTTTCAGGAGAGGTGTGATGACAACATGCCATTACTGTAAACTTTAAACCATTTACTACCAATTGAACATACAGAGAGAAAGAACACAATTTAGTTTATATAAAAGCATGCATAGTGATAATCACGGATTTAGGAGTAAGATGCAGCATATGTTACAAGGTAATTCTCAATGTCACTTGGGGCAATTTAATACTGTGTACCACAGCTACAATGGTTACACAGACTGAACTAGGTGGTGTGCAACCTTGGTGTTCCGTTTCAAGTCCCACACCTAGTTCATCGTGCAAATCTGCCTGGCTCCAACAGCAGAACATTGGCCTTCTTACTTCACTCCCACTGTTGCTGAAATTTGTATCCATGCGTTGATCATTTTGAGAATAAATATTTTCATTGTTTTCCTTGCTACCGTACCTAGCTCCACTCGCCAGACGCCGTCACTGATTCAGCACCCTGCAGCCTGAATTCTTTTGTGTACAAGGCTCTGCACATTCAACCTTCAAGTATCATGTCCAGTCATCTGGAACTTTCCTCAAAAAACACTTTGCTTTGCTAACTCTCTTTTTACTTTCTGAAACCTCCTAAATATTTCTTTGACTATACATTTGGTCAACAACATATTTGCTCAATGTCTTTAAGTCTCTTATTTTTCTACTCAATGTCCACCACTGTTTGCCAAGCACTTTGAGATATTCATGTAAGTAAAGGACTGTATAATTGCAAGTCGTTGTTAATGTCCTTCATATTTCTTCCTCTGTACTAGTCTGGTATACTCTCATGATTCTCAAATCCAGGCTTTAGACCACCAAATAAAATATGCACTGAAGAGTGTGGAACTGAGTGCAGTGTTCATTTTAATAATATTAATGTGACTAAAACCAGGGTTCGTGAACTCATTGGAGAGGTAGCAGAATGGATCAAACAATGGTTAAAAAAACGAAAACAGAGCATAGGATATAAGGGCATCTTTGGTTTGAATATCAGTTTATTCATTTAGGAATTAGAGAAATAGTTTTTAAAAAGAAATAAAATGATAAATGATACAAAGAAAGGACAGGGGAGTGGAACCAAGTGAGAGCTTGCTCAGGGAGCTGCTGTTTTTATGCTGTGAGATTCTATGATTCCATATTTGTTTAACTGAATTCTAAGGTTTAACATCTTTCCTGACTACTCTCCTGTTATTATAATATTAGATCCACTTTTTGCTTTACGTTTTGCATTTTTAATGATTTCACTTTTCACATCTCTGGTGATTCCTTATGATTAGCCTTGTATGTACCCTAGTAATCACCTTCTCCGTTCTCCCTGCAAGCAGCCATTTGTAAATCACGCTTTTTAAAAAAATTAAATGATCTCGGTTTTGATATTTTTATTCAATTTGTTCAATTTCGCTGGGTACTTAACTGACATACTTGACATTATGTTCTTGAAGGATGTCCATTTATCCAGTCGTGTATTTGCTCTGTTCCTCACTCATGTTGAATATTATTGTGCCGAGGTTACTTTCTAAATAGTGCCACTTAGTCCAATCATTTGTAGTAAGTTACTTCAGTACTGTATATCAAGGGAATAGATACTCACAGCTTGGCAACATAGGTCACAATTCAGAGCGAGAATCACTGTGAACTATAATTATATAAAAGTGTGTGGATTCATCAGATAGTCACTCATTAAGCTATCCATTTATCATAAGTGACAATTATTCTTTTAAAATGGATAGATGAAATTGGTGGATCGTCAACTTTTCCCATTTCAGAACTGCAAAAGTATAGTTGTACAAATCAAATGGCGTGCGCTCATGTGGCAAGTTAAATGGAAAATAACCACAAAGCACAGTTGACACACTATAGAGCTTGAACAACAATTTGGTCTGTATGATTTCATAGATAGAAACTTCCTTCTCGTTTTGAATAGTGTAGTGTCGATCAATTTCTTCCCCAAACACCACGATCCCTTAATATCTTAAAAATCACACAACAAGCACATTATAGCAAAGGGCATGTTATAAACAGTATGGTTTCATATTGCTGGGAAAGAATCATAAATCATGGATAAGGTTCTTCTGACATCAAGAATGCAGTGCAGGCCAGTGTGGTAAAGTGCTAATCATGTTTCCTTAAGAATTTCTCACCAGACCAATTTACCTTCCTTCCCATAAATATCCAAGTCTTCAAAAGCAAAAAATCACCCTAGAAACCAGCAAAGCCTGGAATTCGAATTATAACCGCCTAGTTCGGAGTTCAATGCTCCAGTACCTTAGCTACTGGCCTATTTTATGGTTATAGTAGACTGCTTTTAAATAAAACATCTCGATAAAGAAAAGGAAACATTTGAATTTGATAAATTTAAACAAAAATTAAGATTGGATGATTTTTGCCTTTTGGCTATGCAGGAATAATATATTCCTATTTTGGCACTCCCTGGATTTGAAGCTTAAATAGCTTAGGTAAAGTGCAGAATGGAAAATTTTAATTAGCAGATTGATCAAAATACAACGCAGAGCCAAACAGTTACAGCTTAGTGTCTTTTAATTAACAGTGTGTCCTCTGGGATATTTCCTTCTGTATTAAAATTCATTAAATGCATTAAAACTGGTAAGAACAGTCTTGAATGCATTTTTGTTAATGTTTAATTAGAAGGCTGTCTGCAATATTTAACACAGGGTTGCTAAATGGAAGTTCATGGCAAGACACCAAAGAGAGGCATTCTGCCATGAACTTTGTGTAACTTTAGAAATACATTAGGCAGAGAAGATTATGCTTAAGGGTTGGGCAACTCGACTGCCTTAAAATCACTCAGAAACCTCCGTGAACTAAAACACCAGGCGATCAGATAATTTCATCAGCTTTTCATACCACTGACTCCAAATAAAGGCATCCTACTTCAAAACACAATTACCATGTGCCACATTACCATTAATTTATATTGCAAGTGATTTACAATACAGGCATGACACCTTGACATTTCATTGTGTAATCCTGATGAAAGCAAAAATTATTTGTCAATTTACCTGAATAATGTCACCCTATTATGTCTTTCTTGGATTCACATCTAAACATTTTTGCATTGCCAAAAAGAGTTAACTTAGAATTAAACTAAGTGAATAAAATGGTCAGAGGTACAAAAAAAAGGTTAATCGTTCTGAAGTCAATCCAAGAAACAATGAATAAAGCACATTCTTTAAACCCATATAAAATGACCTGGCAATCTAGTTATGTTTCCATTATTTCACATTAGGGAATGGGTGATTTTACAAGAAGATTAAAACACTGTTTAGCTCAGTGTTTCCACTGAGAATAAATAGTATGCACTTCAGTAGCACCTTACCTTTCAAAATTTTGTCTCAAACAGCTTAGCTTAGATGATGATCAATCCTATAACTGTAGGATAGTCCATTAGCTAAAGTGTTGGAGCACTGCATTGTGATCCAGGAGATCATTTGAATTCCAGACAAAACCAGAGCTTTCTTAGTTCTTAGAGATGATTTTTGCTTTTAAGTCTGGGAGAGCCAGGTCAAGAATACTTAAAGAACAAAAATATTTTCATTATATCACACCAAATTGTGCATTTTTTACAAAAATATATAATTTGTTCATAACTTCTTGCACTTCCACACATAATTTTTGGGGAGAAGATAACCCCCACTATTTGACCCCGTCTGTCTCTGAACTGGTCATGCTGCTGAACTGAAAATGAAGAGGATCACATTGATAGACCCTGGGTTCCTCATTTAATTTTTCCACTCTCAGTCCCTATAAAGAAACACCTGACCTCTGCTTAGCATATTCTCCTGTCCCCAAGCACAGTCTCTCCAAGCAAATCCAAAAATAGCATTGCTGTTCTGTATAAGGATGCTGAGCCAGCTTTCAACTCAAAATAAAATAGCAGCAGTGCACCTGCAGACAGAAGAAGATAGCTGCTACCTAAGCTGAAATATGAAGAAAAATGCTTCTGAGGTTGTACTCGATGCCTCTAGAGACAAAAGAACTACCTGATTTACTGTGTAGTGCTGCAGGGCAGCATCATTATTTCCAGAAACAGTCACTGTTTGGTGAAGAAAATCTCCTTTTAAATCATTGATATACATAACAACAAAGTATTGAATTCAATGGGTTTCAACACATTTTTCTTATTAAAAAAATAACCAAACAACTTACAATTTCCAGTTTTGAATGCTCTGACCTTAGCGACACTATAGAATATTTTCATGAAATCTTTCTAAGAATTTGATATCCACCATACCGTATCACTGACCTGTAAGCCTTTCCAGAGTGTCAAATCCATGTTTTAGTGCTATAATGTCAAGAAACGAAATTGTGCCATCTTCAAACCTGCAAAGGAAAGTATAATTACTATAATCGTGCAAGATTTACCACATTATTGCAATAACAACCACAACCCTATTTTGTAAACAAAATACTGATATAGCTAAATTTCTCATATCTGGAAATCAAATGTATCTCTATGAAGTAACAGTTTGTCAACACTTTTGTGTTTGCAGCAACGGAATTTTAAATCAAACTTAAATTAAGTTTGGCTGCCAGTCAGTTGTGTGAAGCAGTTTGAGGTGTCTTTCTGACACAAATGTAAATTGTTGTCATTCAATAAGGTACCAACTCTCACTTACATCTGAAAAATACTAGAGGCGGTATATTAGTTGGATTCTCAAATCTCAGGGTATCGCTAGATTCTTGACCTTTTTCTAAGTGGAAAACTGGAATCTTGATGGAAACACAGGTTTGGCAGTTTTTTCACACATCTGAATTTACAAACTTATATTTATTTCTGTTGAAAACCTTTTTCAATGCCACCTTAGTTCCTTTCTCTTTTTTAAAGAGGAGGAACACATATTCAATCATATCTAGACAGGGTGCAATTTGGCATGAGTACTGCAACTTTCTGGCAGCTGCAGAATAGATAGATATAAATAAGCCAATGTTTGAAAACTGTATTGGGTAAAACACAAATAAAACGTGGAGTCCTGTAGCTCAGTGGTTAGAGCATTCGCTTTGGAAGTGAGAGACCTGAGTTCAATTCCAGGCAGAGGGCGAAACCTTGGGCAAGTTTCCTTACTCCACACACCTAATAATAATCCCTCCAAAACCAAAAAAACAAACAACAATAAATTGGTCATTTTCAATCTACGGCTGTTTGTGGGACATTGCTGTGCGCAATTGGCTGCCGCGTTCGCCCACAAATATACAGTCAATTCACTTTACAGTGTGTTCTGTGAAGCGCTTTGGGACTTCCTCCCGACGTGAAAGGCGTTATATCAAATGCAAGGATTATTATTATTATTATTATAAAACATACCTTTTTTAAATTGATCATTGGATTAACTTTTCTATTCAAACTACAGGAATGAATTAGGTAAATTCAAAATATATATCTATGTTTGATTGAATTTTTAAACCGTTAAAATGCTGAAAGAGAAAGATCCCTAAAACTATAAAACATTTAAAATAGTTTAAGTATCAGAGGAACTACACAAAGAATTCTCCACCAGGATACGCTCAGGAAGGAATCCTTCCAGTTACCTGACTGTTAAGCCGACCTCTAGCTGAAGGTATAAATAGCGACACTGGCATTTATTATACACTCACTATAAATTTCTCATTATAATAAACAAGAAAGAGATTGTTAAAAGATGAGAGTGTGATATAATTCTCTCTAATATAATAATGAAGGACTGATTGACTGGAGAAACAAGCTGCTGTGTCTCATGATACTGAAAAATCTTTTTGGAATGCTTCATGTCTCTTCACATATGGCTCTCGGTCTGAGTTGCTCTAACTTCTACAATACCTCCCCCTTCTACATGTGGAATGTATCTCCTCTTCTGTATGTTAAGTGCTCCAAGATGCTGCCCCTCGTGAAAGGCCCTATAAAAATGCAAGTTGTTGTCATTGATAGCCTGGTGAGCAAGGTGAAAGGACAGTGGCAGAGCATTGACTTTTTTGATCATTCTGACATATGTGGAAATCCGAGCCCCTTCAGTCCAGTTTCTGCCTTGCTCACAGCACTCAGGCAGTACTTGTCAAAGTCATGAATGACGTCCTAGCTTTCTGTAAGCAGGGCTCACTCTGCCTGCTTATCCTCCTGGATCTCTCTGCAGCAGTCAATACAGTCAATCACGCCATCCTCCTCCCTCATCAACCTCAACGGGACCGCACACACCAGGAGCATTACTTTGTCTCTGCAAATGGTTTCTCCTCCTGCCTCTGCATGGTCACATTTGTTATACTCTCAAGGCTCTATCCTTAGTCCTCTTCTTTTTCTCATTTACATGCTCCCTCTCAGTGATGTCATCTGCAGATATGGAGTCACCTGTACGTGAATGACACTCAAATCTACTTCTCCTCTTCCATCTGCAACACCAGGTCCACAGATGTTCTGTCCGCTTGCTTCTCAGACATCAAGGCCTGGATGAGCATCAACTTTCTGCAGCTGAGTGTTGAGAAGCCATCCTCTTTGGTTGCTATAGTCTCATCTGTGGCTCTGACCTCTTTAACCTCTCTGGCCTATCCCACAGACTCAAAGAATGTGTGCAGATTCAATCTCCAGTTGTCCTTTCTATGCCACGTCCAGTTCCTGACCAGGACCGTTTCCTCCACCTCCTGTACATCGCCTGCCTCCAACCATACCTCATGCAGTAGATACCTTATCGTTGTATCTGTCACTTCCCGCCTCGACTTTTCCAATGCCCTCCTTGCCAATCTCCCGAGCTCCACCTCTCATAAAATCCATATGATTCAGAACTCCTCCACCCATATGCTCCCCCATACCAACCCCTCACCCCAATCCTTGCTACGCTCCACTGGCTCTCCATTGCAGAATGGATCAATTTCAAGATCCTCTCTCACGTATAAATCACTTCATGCCCTGGCACCTCCCTACCTCTCCGATCTGCTCACACCCCACTCCACTACCTGCCACCGCCTTCGCTCAGCTGGCTCCAGTGTTCCCTCTGCTCCAGGCCATACTTTATTACCTTTGCATCATTCTAGTTTCAGTAACAGACCTCACATTCTTGTAATTGGAGTCCTGTAGCTCAGTGGTTGGAGCACTCGCTTTGCAAGTGAGACACCTGGGTTCAATTCCAGGCAGAGGGCGAAACCTTGGGCAAGTTTCCTTATTCCACACACCTAAGAATAATCCCTCCAAAAAGCAATAATAAATTGGTCATTTTCAATCTACGACTGTTTGTGGGACATTGCTGTGCGCAATTGGCTGCCGCGTTCGCCCACAAATATACAGTCAATTCACTTTACAGTGTGTTCTGTGAAGCGCTTTGGGACGTCCTCCCGACGTGAAAAGCGCTATATCAAATGCAAGGATTATTATTATTATTATTACATAAACAATTTGTGTGCCCAGGACATCTATGTCATAACTTACTCAGTTGTGTTAGCAGAATGTAGTGAAACCTGAATAAAATTAGATTTTTGTTGCATTTAAACTTTTGATGCTTTGTGGTTTTGGCTGTGTAGAAAAATTGCTTATTATTCATAATTTAATAATAATCCTTGTATTGGACAAAGCGCCTTACCACATCTTCAAGACGTCTCAAAGTGCTTCACAGAATATACTTTAAAGTGAATTGACTGAGTATGTTAAGGGGAAAACTAATTTGCATAAACCAAGCAACTTATTTTGTAAAATTAAGGGAAGAGAGCTGAATACATACAACTGAATCCTCAATTTTCAGTACCATTGTGTTGACAAATTCCAGAAGATGCTTGGTGGACTTATTTTCTTTGAAAGGTATCTAATAATGACCTTGATACCAAAATAACAGCCTCCACGTCTCAATACTTAGATGTCAAACTTTGTCGATTAAGATAATTTATGTCTCAAATTCATCATTATTTGTTACTCTTGTGATATTAGCTTTAATTTCACATGTTCTTGATTCACATCTGCAATTTAAATAACAATTATTCACAAATTAGAACAGAATGTAGTGAATACTGAATAAAATTAGATTTTTGTTGCATTTAAACTTTTGATGCTTTGTGGTTTGAACATGCCTATCATTTGACATTCCTCTAATAACAGCAGCAATGACCAGTGGAATATATCTGCAGAAAAATGAAAAGGATGATAGTAGTTCTGTAGCAATCTCCATTTCATTAATGATTCTGGATATGAACCACACTTGTATGTACATTACAACCTCATTTATAAGTGATCATTTCAGAATCTGTTATCTTGTTTTCTCATGCTCTCCATTACCCATCCATAGCAAATATTTGGATAATGTAACTTAGTTATAAATATTCTGACATAGCTAAGGAAATTGAACACATGATGAACACATTAGCTGTGTAATTGTTCATTATTAATTGGCTTAGTCGTCTAACCTTAATTGTCCTGTAAATTACAAAATCATTATTATGAAATTGTTTTGTCCAATTTTGTGGTATGAATTAACTTGTTTGATTTATCTTGAACTAATACGTAATTTGGAAAATATTAAATTTTATGAATATAAAAGAAAGCAAAGACTCCAATATTTGGAAAAACATCCAAATGCTGTAATATAAAGACTCCTGCTTGTAGGCTTGTGCACAGTTTGAATGTACTCTCAAACATTTATTCGTTTTGAAAATAATCCAGTCGATACCACTGTCCTGGAAAAATCAGCAAACACACTAAAAATAAAAACAGACACATAGCTTAAAAAACATACGTCACTCTACGGATTATGTGCAACAAGCGTCCATTGCTAAATAAATTAAATAAATATAAATAATCCTTATATTTCATGTCGCACCTTTCATAATGAAAAGATGACTCAAAGAGGTTTCACAGGATATACTGTAAAGGCCAGTGACTGATGTATAGGTAAATGCAGCAGTTAATGCGCGCACATTGTCGCACAAACATCCATGGAGTGAATGACTAATTTTATCTGGGGATTTTATGACCAGGGCACTTGGAGAAACTCCCTTTGTTTTTTTGAATAGTGCCAATGGGATCTTTGACGTTTGAACAGTTAGACGAAACCTCGGTTTCACATGTTATCTTAAGGTCGACAGTTCCAACAATGCAGCATACTCCTAGCACTGAGTTGGACTGTCAGCCTAGACTATATGAGTTCAAAGCCCTGAAATGGGGCTTGAACCCGCAACCCTTTGACTCAGAGATGAGAGTGCTAACAACTGAGCCAGGCTGTCATCTGGTGTGATCTGTTTTCAAGCACTCTGAGACACTGTCCTGCTTGAAGGGTGCTATATAAATACAAATTGTTGTTGGTTTAAGGGTTTTTAAAGCATTTAGAATTTTAGTCATGTACAAACCTTGGTTATGTTCAGAGCAATCTCCCAAA